ATATATATATATGCAGCTGAAACAGGTAAACCAGTACCGCATCCCAAATTATTCAGTATTAACATTTTAACATAACATTTTAGTCATTATAGCTTTTAGAAAAATATTTTGTGAAGAGGTGGGGTTTCACATTAAAGGCTCCTTTTGGCACAGCCTAAACTTTTTTTTCTTACATTACTTTTACATTTATACTTCTAAGTAGTTTTAAAGTGCTTGCAACATGTCTTCAAAAACAAAAAGTCAAAGAAAACATCTTTATATTTAAGAAAGTTGGAACAATGCACATGGTTTTTACCCATTTTGTTCCTCAACTGGCATACTTTATTTTGAACTTGACTCAGCCAAAGTGAAACAGGAAGTGACATCAAAGGGGAACTTTTTAACAAACAAACAAACAAAAAAACAACAACTCTTTGGTCTCTGTTTATTGAAACTATACTACTTGAACTCTGACTCTTCATCATCTTTCTCTGATAGGGASTCAAAATAATCTTAATAAACATCAGATTCTTCTATACAGTCTGGGTTGTTAGCTGTTGTAGCAACGCTCCGTTCACATGCAGACATTCCCCTATGACATCACTTCCTGTTACTTTACAGGCAAAAATCTCAACAACTGTTCATCTCAGCAACATGAAATTTATTTTGCAATATTTTGTCAATGACATCTTTTCAAAAATGCTTTCTCATGTATTACAAAAAATTTGACGTCACAGGCACTTTAAAACCAGTACTTTTTCTATGTTTACTCAAGTTAAATGCTTGARTTYATGCTTCAAATTGTAAACAAGCATTTTTAAACCCTAGTATTTATACTTCTACTTGAGTAATGAACGTGAATACTTTTGACTCCTCTGATGAATAATGTTTTTTATTTATTTAATAAAGACATGGGGCTAGGTTTTGTGTGTAGCCTTTCTATTTCAGTTTTGAAAACAGGCTTGTAACATCTCGCAAACGTTTCCTCTGTGCTGCTGAATGTTTGTGTTTTCAAAGAAATTTGTGAGAAGGAACTCAGTATTTGTCCAAAGGGACACAACGCTCTATTGACCAGGGCACCAGAGAAACAGCGGGGGGAAGGACACAGGAGAACACGAGCCGAAAGGGATAGATGGATGGAAGACACTAAAGGAGATAGTTTGTAGGGAAGAAACAGACGGGAGAGGAAAGAGATGATGGCGGAAAAGAAGGAAACAGAGGGCTGAGAGGAGAGGGAGGGCAGAGCTAACGGAGAAAAGAGGAGTGGTGGTTGTGGTGAAGGAGGTGGGGGTGTGGAATAAAAGAGGAAAGACAAGAGTGAAGAGGGCCTGCTTACTTTGGCAGTCTCCCAGGCCATCTGTGTTACCATGCTCCACGTCCTGCTCAAAGGCAGATCTGCGGGGAACAAAGACATCATGGTCAGCAGCAGAAAAACAGGCCAGGCCACGCAAGCTTGACACACCTAGCCCAGGAACAAAGCTGTGTGGAAAAAAAAAAAACGCACCACCAAAGATAGCATACGCTGGAGCACAGCATAAGCTGCAGAAAGTCATATGCTGGCTTGAAATCAAAGAACACCTGGGGAAAGTGCCCTGGAGACCTGAATCAGTGAAAATCCAGACAGGTAGTAAATAGCTTGTCCAAAACTTGTTGCCAGGACTGTTGGGGAAAAAAAGGCAAGCTATATCTTATTTGCAGTAAACTAAAGCAAAAACAAAAACTACAAAAACTCAATAAGGTTTTATTCCAAAYAAAGTTCAACACAATTCAGTTTAAACAATGTAAATGTGTTCAATCATCTTTTATTTCAGAAGCTATACGAGACACAGCTAGAAGCTCCAGATCCATACAAGCATAAAAGTGGTATCAGATTTCTAACGCAACTCTTTGCAAGAAAGTGAAATATACTGTATATTTCGATCACAATTTATTTTTCCTGAGTGCTTGACGTTGTGCAGTCTCGTCTCCTTGTACACTTTGTCTGGCTTTATCAAGCTTCAGAAGAGACATGAGTGTAGTTACAATCACATGGGCGAAGAGCAGAGCAGTGGGGGGTAACCGTGCTTCAGGGCCATCATATGACACAGGAAAAAAAAAGAAAGGGGGGTTAGATATGTTATTTTCTGATACCGTCTGCACTGAGACCTGTTTTCTCCCTGAAAGACCACCAAGCAAGCTGTAAGGAGATCGGTGAAACAGAGCGGACCAACTGTCAACCAGAATTACAGTCACGCATGACAGTTTTTCACAGTCCACCTCAGCTCCCTCTTCAGTGCTCCAACTCCTGTCTGTCCACCCGCCTCTCATTTTTCTCACCCTTCACTGGTCTGAATTACAGCATAAAGAAGGATTATTTTCCAAAACACCATCACCTATTCCTTGTGTGCTCAGGTCAAAGGGAAAGAGATGTGGACCTCACAGGAATAGGATAATTTTGGATGAGAGGCGAAGGCTAGATTTCTCTTGTTTGGGATTCAGAGCAGAAAGAAAGCCAAATTTACTCAATGCAACAAATGATATGGTTTTTATAATAAAACCCGCTTTAAAGGAGACATATGCTTTTAAATCTTTCTTTTTCCACATTTAAATCATTTAGTGTAAAATGGAACTGTAATGTTTCAGTCTGAATTCCTTTTTATTGTAACTCCACAAGCCCCTCTTTCACCCCTTTTCTGAAGTGTGTCTCAGATCAACTCGTTTTGAGGCCGTCTCTTTAAATCCAAATGAGGTGCTTCACACACTGCCCCTCCAGCTCCCAGACTAGTCCATTCTAGTTTGATAGAGGAGTTTAAGGCTCTATGGCACAGAAACTTTTTATTTACAAATTAMTTAAAAGGTGTCAACAAGGGAAGACTTGTCCATCCAGCCTTACATGYTGGAGYCAGAGTCTGACCCAGAGCCAGAGGAGAATGAAGATGATGAAATTGTTGTTGGAAAGTGCAGATCTCATTTAGCAGTTCTACCGCAAATACTGTGATGTTTAGAAAAACATTATAAAAAAAGAGAAAACTGAACGGGTTGAAAAATATGACCCAAACAGAATATAAAGATATCCACGCAGCACCGGGAGTGACTTAATTTAAATTTTCTGCACTCCTAGAGACTCCAAGCACACAATAAAATGCATTTAATGGCTAAAAAGGTGGATTTTGAATGATATGTCCCCTTTAATATGTACCCCCTTTGTAAAAGTATTAGCAGATCTGTCACAAATGACCTTTTAAAAAAAGAACTTTGCACTCCTCCGCATTATAAAAAGAACAACYTCGCTGTCGTGGTTTCCAGTAACATTATCAACTGCAGCATGATCAAGATTACAAGGTTGAAATCCCACTGGCCTGGAGATGAATTAACAATGAGCATTCACTGTACAGACGTATTTTCTGGGGGCCCCTTAGAACACATGAGGAGTGAATGAACCACAGTATGAACCCTCGGTTAAGAGGGTCGGGCTGATAGAGGCTGCATTATGTTAGATGAAGCGCAGTGTGTTCGAATGTTCGACACTACAGGCGGTCAGATCAGGGTTGAGATTCCAGTGCAGCCATATAATACATATTTAAAACAGATTCAAAATGTGTTCTACATAACTGGAGGCAACTAGAAACCCTAGATTTCTATTATTTATCATCTTTCATCAAATGTGATTAGTAGGTTGCACAGAGGGGACTTGGCTGCTGAAATGCAGGTCAGGCATAATAACACTAATTATTCATATAAAAATAAATTGGAAGGCAGGGAATATACTGTAGATACAGTGTGAAGGAAATATGCAAATTTGTCTCCGAAGCTGCCGTTTCATTTTGACTCATGCCGTTTGTTTAAAAAGAAACAGGAGCTYATCAGGTCACACACCAGCATATGGGCACATTTTATCTGAGTCTGCTCATTTGATGTGCTGATTATGGCAACGCAACTGTGTACCTATTTTACAAAATAACAACCATTCAGAATCATATGCAATTATATGCATGAATGGGGGTGGGGGGTGGGGGTAACTGGGAACCATATTGCAGGAGACTGGAGTGCAAGCTGTTGGTAGGCAGCAGGTATAAGAGGCATAACTACACATGGGAAAACTGGCACACTAGCATCAGGACCAGATGGAGGAAGAAAGGAGGGGAGGGTTGCAAGAGAGGAAGAGCATGTTGGAGGAAAATGGAGGGAAAAATGGATAAAAATAGCTGATCAGACACGAATGGGCATTTGCAGTTAAGGAGATATGTTAAGGTGGAAGGACAAGAAAACAAAGGTACTATTTGTTTAAGCAAACGTTCCCCCCCCCCCCCACTTCATGTTTAGCCTTGTTTTAGGGAGCCCACCAAACATTTCCCAGCAAACCAATTTTAAATTTTTTTACAATATAATGGCAAAGTCGTCTGCTTTTGTTTGTGTCAGTTCCTGTTGCAAACAGTCAAAGCCATCCACCAGCTTTTTGTCATATATCTGGATGGGTAGCATCTGTGGTTTGATGTATTTTTTGTGTATACTGTACATGTGGTGGACTGACATGCAAGACCAATCTATTTAAAGGAAAGAGATCAAGTTCATTCATCGTCAAATAGCCAGCAGAGCAGTGGTCTTTCTTCATGACTTGATCCGTAAAATATTTTTCCCACCACAAAACTCCATGTGCTGTTTGCTCAGAAAGAATAATCTGGTTCTGTGTCATAACTGCAGCCACAAAATTATAGCCGATGCAGCCATCAGACTTTCCCCCAGCGCTGCGTACCCAACCCCAGGGTTAAGGCAAACAGCACTTTTCTTCCTTTCATCCATCCAACAGCCTTTTCAGCTGAAGGCAAGTCCACTTACGTACCATAAAATTAGAAAATTCAAGGGAAGAATGGTGACAGGTACAATAAAAAAGGGCAGAATACTGTTATAAAAGCAAAATTCAACCAAGTTCAGAAGATTCACAAGGTGAAACAGATGGGTTGGATTGAAACACTATGATACCCATGAGCCTCAGTAAGTGGTTTTGTGGCAAAAAAGAAATCAGGGATACAGTATAAAATATGTGGAAGCTGTGGAGGTGTGGAAACAGCAGGAAAAATCATAAAAGTATTAGCATCACGAGTCGGAGGGATGACTGCTGCATAAACTCAAGCCCAAATTTAAACATTGAAAGGAGTAACTACTGATTGAACGCCCACAATAAACACATTTCTGAAGCCAAGCAGTAAAATGACTAACCTTCACCAAGTTAAACTATTAAAATTAACTCAGAATTTATCAGTTAGCTAGTATACGCAAAATAAATCAATGCAAATTGTCAGATATTTTGCTCTTTAAAGCAAACACAGCATTTCTTTTGTCCTAGCTAAAAGATTCATTGATATTTTTTAGTGGTTTATTTCTATTCTAATGTTTTATTGTTTATTTTTTTTGTTATTTAAAAAAATTGGTTACCCAAAGGCCTTCCTCCCACCACATTTAGTTCTTGTGTTTACTTACTTGATGTTGCCAACCACTTGTCTGCAGGCACCTTCTGACACCCAACCACAGTATGGGTCCCTGGAGGCTATACAGGACCTGCAGGATTGTCACACCCACCATCAGTCACTCCTATATTACACGCTGGAAAAATTAATCCAAAGAACAATTTTGTGGGTGAACATCAATCTTACTTCTTGCACCGCCCGTGCCTTTCGCATCGAGACAGCGGCACTTTAACCACACAGGAAGTGAAAGCCACCCACAGAGCGTGACTCTTGGTGTCAATCTGCATCCCGATGATGCGCTTGTCTTCCACGCCATCTATGCTGCATCTAAAAGAGGCAGAGAACAGGGTTAAAACCGCCTCAATATGCCCTTTTCTTTGGWTGTAATCAAATGGAAATGTTTGGGGGGAATGTTAAACAAACAGAGATTTAGGAGAGATTTAAAGTAATTTAAAGAAGCAAACGTGGAGATTAGGATGTGGCAGACAGACAATCTGTGAGGTCAGCAAGAACACAGATAATACTAGAAAAGACTACATGAGGTCAGGAACAGAGTGGGAGATAAAGAGAGATAAGAAACTGGGTGATACAGATACAGATAAACAGACAGATGGCCACTCTGAGCAGTCAGCAACACTTAACTGTGAAATCCACTAACAACYGACTCAAGCCCTTYCACCTCCCACATTTGACCACTCCTTCATCCCTGTTAGTCGACTCTGCCTCCGCAGCCCCACAGGACCCTGCTCTAATCCCTCCGGGGTGTGTCAAGCATCTTTCTATCCCTTCTTTCCCTTCGCTCCTCTCTCCATCCTGCCATCCAGCTCCTGAGATTTAATCTCCTCTTCATAGAGCCCTGGTCCTGCATTAACGTTCTCAATTAGGGCTTAGGGTCCATCTACACTGGGTAATGCACAACAATCGGGCCTGCGCTGATCCAGCCTGCCAGGCGGGGACGCAAAGTCACTTACTGTACGCGACTGAAGCCAGATGGCCGGCAGCCGACGGATGCTCAGCCCCAGCCAGCAGGAGCAAGGAGAGCAACATGGAAGAGGGGAGAAGGAAACACAAGGAAGGGGAGAGGGAAGAGGAGAGGGCTGTGTCCTTCAGTCCCCTACACACAGCTCATCACATGGCTGCAGCATSTTAGATAATAAACCATGAAAGCCCTCCTGTCAAGTCCTTCACTTGTTCCTTTTAGCTTCCCGTCTCTCCTTTCTGYTCTACACAACTGTTTTCTCTTACTCCCCATGTTCGTGCTGCCATTCGCTCCCTCTCATCCATCGCCTCTCAACCAAATGTTTGCTCTGGCAGTACTGAATTGTGGTTGAATTTTTTTCCCCCTTATTCCCTTATGCTACAAATACGATGTTCAACTCACCCCTCGAGTTCATGGTCACACATCCGCACAGCACAAACCAACAGACATGTAATCCATTAGCGAGAGATCGGGGGCTGGCTCTGAAGATGAACACAGACCTCAGCGTGAGTGTGTGTTGGCTTTAATCAGCCAGCATTTCTGAGGAGCTGGGCTTCGCTGTGGTCAGGAACCACACTCAAACACTAGCCAGAGTCTTAGTGTCGATGTCTTTAATTTAGTGGCTGTGGTTGGGCAGAGTGTAACCTGATAAAACGCTTTTAGATGATAGAGTAGCCATCTGGTTGACTGGCTTCACTACAGAGCTGGGGTTGGGGGAACCGACTTGTAATGATGGAGCTGGGTGGTTTGGCTGGGATGATAGATGGTACAAACACACAACCTCTTTTTCAGTAACACGCATTCAAGCAGTAACTGTCCTTCCATCGTTTGTAGCAACTGTATCCATCATTCAGGCATCGATGYGCCCAGAGTTACGTACTTGTCAGGGTTGTACACGTTGAGCTCCTCTAGAAAGAGGCTGTCATTAAGAAAGCCATGGTTCATCTTGGCTAAAAATTTGAGGATGATGCCCTTCTCAGATCCCAAGAACACGACCGTGTGATTCTTCTGGGGCCCTGCCTCGTTGTCCACCACGATGCGCGTCAGTCGATACCTGGAAGGAGGGAACACCCAGTAAGACAAACAAACCAATCAGTGCATTAATTAGTCAATTTGTCTACCAATAAAGAAACACGTCAGCTCTCTGAAGGAGCAACACACATCTCAAGTTGAAATAMAAGTCAAGGTGTTGCACTACAGTCAAGGTAATCATTAGAGAGACAGTCAGTCAATAAGTGTGCTTTCCATTGTGTGCCTAAAGAAGACAACAAAGCTGCAGGGAACCTTTACAGTCTCATTATGAAATGTTGTTTTATTCATCAGACTGGCATAAAGCCTGTCGAAGGGGATTAAAAACATAACACCTATCAATGCTAAGCACAATTTCTTTTCTGATTGACAGTTAGTGATCACACAGTTTAAATCAGCACCTCTTGGTTAAAACTTCCTCTCCCCACCCCAAAAAAGAGTCTAAGTGATAAGGCACCTGTGAGTTTTTGATTGGTGTACTTTTGTGTTCACAGGTGTTTGACACATAAAATCTCAAAGAATAAATACGTATTTATTTATACAATGAAACTGAATCCATTTTCATTGCTTCTGTTTATCATTTTTCTTATTTAGGGGAAAAAAACACATTTGCACATCTGTTAGTCATGTTCATACTATTAATTTTACAAGTTTTTTATATATCATGGGTTTTTCTGTAAGATCTTTAGGATTTTTTTAATGTTTGTTCTTGATTTTTTAAATGTTTGTTCTTTATATTTATTACTAGAGTAGTAGTTGAGGTTTAAACATTTCTGTCATTTGGTAGATGAAACAAAAATAGATTTTTAGTAAATTTGGTTTGGTGATTCAGAAAAAAATACCTTCCTTTGTTCAAAAAGTCTTTGAAGCATCTGTAGCTCTAAGCCTAGTGTTGTTGTGTTTGGTCTCAAAGTTGTGGAATTGTAGCTAACTGGATTTGAGGATGTTTCAAGATAGAAGCTCCAAAAAACAGCTTAAGGCTTTAAGGGTTAATAGAAGTAGATTGGATTTAAAGATTAGAGATGAGCGCTTATCCGGAAAGGCAGTCCACTATTACCCTCATTAATATCAACTACATGTTCTTCATGTGAAAATGAGTCAAAAGCAGCGAGTCAGTGAAACAATTATTGTAAATTAGAAAAAAAATCCTTTTGCATATTCTGTCTCAGTAATGCACAATTTTACACCAGAACATTAAAATTCAAAGTCACATAGATGTGACCTGCAACACTGGTTTTATACTGTCAACTTAAACAAGTACGTGAAGGTCTAATTAGATTTGATCCTGCGGGAGTTTTAAGGACCATGTCAGTGCGACCGAAACCCAGTAAAACCAACCTCTGCAGATATTACAAGTTACTTCTTTTCTATTTAGACTCGGATAATAAAAAAAATCACAAGAGCAAGCCTTTTCAGTGTGTCCCCCCTGTTTAAAGTGATTGATTGTGTCCTGCCAGCTGAGGTCCTTACAGCAAAGCAATAAATAAATAAATAAATAAAAAATAAGCTTTTTCATATGGGTAAAAGGCTTGTGTTGGATATTGGGGTGTTGTCTCTGGGGTGTGTCAAGGATCAAATCATATTACTGACTTCATTTCCATTCGACTGCAGCTCCCATGTGGTAATCCATGTTGAAACCACCACAAAGATTTTCATCCCTCTCACATGCTTTTTTGAAGCTTTGCAAACTTTAATAACTCATGAGATGAATGACTCATAAATTAAATCATCTGATGGCTGGTCAAGTCAAAAACATATTTCTTATATAATTTGTTCATTCGTCACTAATACACCACTGTGCATTAAATATGAGGAAAGAAGTTCAAACTCACTACAAATTATTGAAGTAGATTATCTTTAAATTGAACCTATTTTCACTCAGATGTATCAAAAATCTGACAAGTTGTCCAAACTTTAAATCACGAGCAGCTCATAACATTTTCATGAAATTCACATAGGAACTTAAGGTGGGCACTCATGGCTATAGGTGGCCGGATGGCACCACTCTCGCCTCCTGTGCCTGTGCCCACCCCCCAAGGTTTGCTTATAGACACTTAGGGTTTTGGGTTAGAGTAGTGGTGGAGGGGAAACTGGCACCACGTCGGCCTCTGCCTCTTCCTCTTTCCCTTTTTAATTACTCTATAGAACAACAACACACACAAACAGTACATCTGGGGGTGGGGGTGTGGGTGTCAGGGTCTTTACTCCCATCCTGTTCCCCGACTGCCATTTGGGGAGGGGGTCCTGAAGAAGGGCGGGCTGCCAGGTGCGGTCCTGGGCTGTGGGTGGGCTCGGGGCTTGGACGGTTGCCGGGGGCGGGGCTGGCTCTCCATCCTCCCTGGTGCTGCTTGGTCTCCTGAGGTGTGGCTCTTGGTTCCTGTGGGTGGTACCCTGGCCGGGGTGGCTGCCGGGTTCCGGGGGGTGGACGGCTGGGGGGGTGCATTTGGTCGTTGGCGGTGTGGTGGGGTGGTCATGAGTGTGGCTTCTCTGCGGTGGGGGGCTGGCCGGGCATCCTGGTGYGGCCCGGGACGGCCCTTGGCTATCTGCTCCTCTCCACCTCAGAATGATTGGGTCTACCTCCTGGGTTCGGGTGTGTGCTGCCTCCAATAGGGGGTGGGTGCATGTCCTGGATCTGGGGGGTATAGAGTGTGTATCGGGGGTATGAGTGGAATGTGGCGTCCTTGTATGTCTTTGACTGAGTGGGGGTAAGGATGAGGGTGGGATGGTGYGATTGTGTATGTTTGGGTATTTGTCAGGCTGCGGTCTGGGCTGCCCCTCCTGCTGGTTTATCTGGGGCCCGCTGCTACTCGGCCCCCCGGTGGGGTGTGCAGCTGGCCGCCAGCGTGCTGGGGGTTCCCGGGGTCTGGGGCTGGGCGCTGGGGTGTGTGCCGGCCTGGCCTGGCCTGGTGACTGCTGGGGCTCGAGACCTCTTGCTCTGTCAGGCCTTGGCCTGGAGTGGGGGAGCGCCCTGGGGGCCCGAACCTGCTCTGGTATGGYGGGTGCCGGTGGGGCCCATGAGTTTGTCGCTGCTGGCCCCGGGGGCTGGGCGTGTGGTCACTGGGGGGACTCTCCCAGTTCTCTCCTATGGTCTGATCTGGGGGGTGGGTGGGCAGATCTTCCCGTGCGGGTGCCCCTTGGGGCTCTGCGCTCGGGATCCCTCTCGGGCCCTTGGGCTCTGGTCTTCCCTATGTCTGCCTCGTGTCTTGTGGGTTGGGTCTCCGATCCTCCACAGTCACTATTAAATATTCCATTGGAGAAATCTTGTATATACACGCATGTTCACAACCGCTCACAAACAGGTGTTCTGATCCGGGGGGTTCTGACAGGTCACTGAGTGTGTATATACATGTCTGTGTGTATATACTGACAATATTTATGAATGTAGGCATGTATGTATGTATATCTTTATATATGTATGGGTATGTGTATATTTTTATATATGCCCTCCATGTATTTATCCATTTATTTTTCAGGTGAGCGGACAGATGTTGGGTGTGTGGTCCTGTGTTTTGTTGGTGTATATTTAATACACTTCTAATCACTATTTCAATCTTTCTTTCTTTCTAATTACTTCTCTCTCTGTTTTTCTCTCTGTCTCTATTTTCTCTTCACTTAAAAAAGTCATTGATGATGAAGAAATAAATAAACTAAATAAACTAATATTTGGTTTCATTTTCTACTGAAGTGACACAAAAAAAAGAAAAAAAAATCACGAGCAGCTGCAAGAGTGGTAAGACCCAGACCCACACAGAGAAGTTGATTTTCAACTTTTTACTCTTCTAGTTACGGTAGAAATGCTTTGACAGTTCTGTCCCACAAATGGGAACATGATGTACAATTGTATCCCCCCAGAGCCTGTTTTAAATGTCTGCATGTAGTGTTCATAAAAGCCAGAGTGACATTTAGGACCAAAAGACATCAGCCATGGTGCTCTGGCTTTTGAGAATTGGCCTCAGTTGCAGAAACTCTACAGAAAAACCAAGTACTAAACTACAAACTTCTAACATTAGTATTTTCTCTTTGAATGTTGTTTTTTTTTCCAAAATCATGCATTAAAATGAAGTTCAATACCCTTCAGTTTATTTATATGGTGCCAAATCACAAAAAAGGTCATCTCAGTGCATTTTATAGAAGCAGGAAATGGGCTCAATTCTGATCCAAATATATCCAGAGGAGAAAAAACTGTAATAATAAAGCCCTTTGTCCATTCTCAACTAACTAAGCACAGACATCAGCAAGTCTTGAAATAACCCTTTAGGGTGAACCTGATCACCTCTTCCCTCGCCACTTAGACACACACAGTGTTCATGACAAGGGATAGGCGTGTCCCAGCTCTTTTATGCAAGGGGACAGGAAGGGCTAAGTGGAAGGGATGTTTGGCGTTCCTAAACAATTTTTAGGAGTACACCTGAGGAGTTCATTCCTCATGGATTTTATTTAAATGTAGTTTCATCTACTCATCTTCTTATAGAGAGCAAGAAATTAAGACAGCATGCTGGAACTTTGGCAAAAACAGTCACGTGTGTAAAGAATTTGGCCCATCGGCTTCTTGCAGTTGTAGAATATTCTCTTCATGACTTTTAATTAAAGCCCAAGAAGATGCTTCAAATGTAGGGCAGTGATCATCAGCTGCCCACACACACACACACACACACACACACACACACACACCATATCTAGCCTCACATTTCATTTGGATGGAGAAATTCTTAATAAATGAAGGTCATTAAGCTGTAATCAAATGTAGTTGTTGACCCCTGATTTAGGACTTAAGGTTTGAGTAACACTAAATGAGATTCAGACCAGTCATGTGGGGAGAACGATAGTAAAGTGTGAATTAGTGTTTTCTCCACTCTACAAAAAAATAGGTCAGTTGCTGGTTTGTGATGGAGGACTACTGTCTTTTAATGAGCCCGACTCTCCGAGCTGCACTTGGAATAATTACTGTCCTGCTCTGAAGAGGCTCGCAGACCTCTGATGATGGCAGCTTGCAGAGTGTGAAGTACTTACCGCACCATGGTCTTGAGAAACCAGGGCCTGTTCGCAATAGAGGGCACAGCCTCGTCCATCAGAGGGTGCATCTTGATGAAGTTGAGTGTGTCRTCGGGGAACTCATTGGATACCTTGTACCTCTCCATGGATGGAGTGCCGGCACAGCTGCCAGGTCTGCAAGTGGAGAGGAGGAAGAGGAAAGTAATGAGTGCGAGGGATGATGGGAGAGGAACGAAAATGGCGAGTGGATGGAAGGAAGAGTGCAGATGAAAAACCACTTCAAGACAAGAGGGCAACAGAGGACGGAAAGTCTAATTTCCAAAAAATCAATGAGAGCAAAGCTATAAATGACCCAACTCTTATTCCAAAAGGCTTCGGTCAAATAAGAGGACACATCATGTCTTCTTTTCTCTGAATTCAGGGTAAAACACTGAGACATTCAATCTATGTGATCCTTTTACAGGGAGCTGGAGATTTTCTTGTAAAAGAGAAGCGGCTTTTGATAGTGTATCCTCTTTGCAGGCATGTCACCTCTGAGGGCTTGTAAAACCTCTTTACATTGTGCTCTTTGATACCTTTTCACAGCACATAATGCACACCGGGCCCTTGAAATATTAGCCAGCTGGCTTCGCACTGTAAATATGTTTAATACAAATCCTAAAATGTGCATTTGCAGATGCTCCAGAGAAATGTAGATCCGTTTTCTTGTTTAGTTATCTTTGTTGAGGTGTTGCTGTGGAAAATTGCGTTATGAATRTAGGGATTTGTGTCCACCTCTTTACAGACTTCTTACATCTTCGTCACAACAGAGGACTGGAAAGAATTTCAGAAAGGAATGTGCTTTTACTCGCCTGTTGACAGCTGAAATAGGCTCCAGCTCAGAAACTCACGACAACCCAGAAAAGGACAAAACYTCTACAAAATTTTGAACAGTTCGAGGTAGTTCTTAAAAAAATTAAATTGATCCCGCTGTGTGAAAATACGAAGTTCTGCTCCTGAAAAGTCACTATTTTTGTGCACGGAAGAAAGTTTATATGAGTTTTTGGTCAGCTGCGAGTAATATAAATTTAATCTCAGAATTGCTGCCGAGAGTCTCCCCGGTTATGTGTGCTCGCATATGGGCGGCAGAACGGAAACAGGCATGTCTTAAATATGAAAATCTGCAAATGATTTGTTTAAGAATGTAGCACACGGAGGAACAGTCTGCTGAAGGACCAGACCTTGGTGGCATTGTTACAGCTCTCCATCTGCTCGCATGTTGATTAAAAAAAGAAGAAGATCTGAACACACCAGAGAACAGATCAATTACTGCCGAGTGAACAAATGTGGGCCTATCTGCTCCTTCGAATATCTGACCTTACCRAACATAAACAAGGTGTAATGCGCTAATTGAGGTAAGAAGGTGAACTCACTCGTGTAGCACTTCAAAATGAGTAGGCTCTTTCGCACACATTTCATGGAAAATAAACACTCGGTATCCACAATTATCATGGCCCAGATCTTTGTAGTAAATTTGTTTTTTTATTTCCCTTGTGGATACAAGATAAGCTCTTAGCGCACTAATTAGTGAGTGATAGATGAGAGATTGATCAGGCTGGTGCTTTTGTAGACTCAGCCAACCGTCTTTAGAATGATCTTACGCATCATTTGTTGATGCTTTTGCAACTATGTGTGAAAAAAGGGATATAATGCATGTGTCTATGACAAAAACAAGGTTGTGTGTAGACAAAAGAATTGCAAAGATAAGTTGAGTTATAATATTTGTTGTTACCACATTGTTCTACGCACTAATTGGAGCGATGCGTGTTTACGTCTTATGTCTGTTTACAAGAGAACAATAACTGAGAAGAAAGAGAGGAAGAGAGCCACTTTTGGGTTTGATGAGTTTCAGGCATGCATTTGTGTTTATTAATAAAACACAGTCGTACCTCGGCTTGGGAACCTTCTCTTCGGGAAAAGGCGTCCAGGTGGAGTCGGGGGATTTCTGCTCTTTGAAACGTCCCGTAAACGTGTGCGCCACCTCCGCCATGTCGTAGGCACACACAGCTGAACCTGGAATGCTGCCACAACACAAATGGATGCACAGTTAAAAAAAAAAAAAGCACGAACATTTCAAAGAAACACCTTGTCAATTTTGGACTATCAGCAAGGGACAGAAAAATGGATTTACAATCCCCTTTCAGAAGGTTTCAATCCCCAGAAGATGGTTTCATTTAGAAGCTGCATGTTTGAACGATGACAGTTTCCAATTTAACAAAAAAAAAACATATTCTGTTAATATCACCGCCTGCAGCTGAAGGCAAAATAATATTTTGATCATTTTGTAAGTGGAGGTGAAAAGAGTTTGTTAATACTGTTAGCAAAATATCTTATGATTCACTGAACATATTTTTATCAAACATTCAGAAAGTAATCATTAGATGTACATCTAGTCAAATAGCCTCTACAGCAAAACTTACTAAATACAAAAATATCTAAAACTCAGTCAGTTTTACAAACAATCAGTTAAAATTTGATGTGGTTAAAGTTTAAACCARGGCTATTCAGCTAAATTGCTCCGGGGGCCACGGTCAATGCAGGCCAACAGCTGAGGGGCCGAACATCCAGCACTTAAAGTTATTATGTAAATAAACCAAAGATCTGTTACCTTTGAAATAGTTTATTTTGCTGCATTTAATCATGGGCATAACATACAGAACACTATGTAATAAATTTAGTGATAAYAAAATAATATCAAAAACAAAAATAACACATCATACCTCTTATTTAACACAAATGATATTTTGACATCTCGGACTTGCCAACTTTTTAAACCAATTTTATTTTTACTTTCACAGTTTTATCTTCAACTGCTTTTAGTTTTAACTGTCTTGAGTGTGCTTAGAAATAGTTTTTGCCAGCTTGTAGCCAAGATTCTGACATTTCTGTAGACCGACCTTTGACTTCTTTTATGAGTGTTAACTGATTGCACAAGATTTAGATTTAAATGTGCTAAAAACTATTTAAAATAACTTTATTACCAAAACATCTCATCAACCACTGTATAGATTTTAATGAAACATTTAGGAAGTGATCATTAGGTTGACATCTACAGTTGATTAAGTTTGGAGTCAACCCAATTCAAGATGGCCACCACAACTAATCCACATTTGTCTACATATAAACGGCTGCACCTCAGTCAGTTTTACCGGGACTGAGCTCAGATTTGGTGTGGTAGTAGCTGACAGTCATTCTCAACAGACTTCAATCCATAAATCCATCATTTTTCAAAATAAGACAAATTTAGTATAAAAATCTGGCATAGACAGCTGTGGGTAATACCCTTTAAGAAACACTACGCCTTTAAATTCTTCTTTCTACTTCCCTCCCTTTTGTGGATTTCCCCAAAATCCTCATCCTAAAAAGTTCATCACGGGTTTACTGCCGAGCGCCGAATGTGAACAACAAATATTTTATTATTGCCTCACATTTGGGGGTGGGGAGGTTGAAAATACCCATCTTGTGATAGCAGCAGTGTCACTGACATCTCGTCTTTGTGTGGAATCAGTGCATAGCTGATTACTGAGTCACGTCTCAGTTTTTAAGTTCTCTCTAAAGTAAAACCCAAGAACTGTTTACAGCGAGTGAAACCCTTCTCCCGCTCCCTTTGCTGGCAGGACTTTCTCGCTGTTGCATCATGAGTTAAACTCATCTTGTAGACATTGGGGAGACTGAATACACAAGGGCAGTATTATAGAGAGCAAGGTCAGAAAGCTGTTAATTCTTGGCTCAGTTGCTAAATTGCAGTAATTACTGTCTGCAGTGGATGTGTACAGAAAGTTAGACAATTATATTTCTGTTTATATCGCGCTCCTAACAAGGCAAATAGCCGGTGAGCGAGGTGGCCAGTTAGCAAGTGGCTCGGTCACGAAACCCTGCCGCGTTTTCCCGACAGACAATTAAATGACACAAACTCTGCCTCCTCTCTAAATTTGCTTCCTCTAATTCCACTCCCTGAGTATGAAATGGAAAATTAATGCTGGGATCAAACTGGGTGCTTATAGAAATTTTCAGAGGTGCTGCTTCATTGGGTTTTAATGTCCATTAACCAYGCTCAATTGCGTTGTCACAAGTAATTGTCTTATCTGCTAAAAAGCAGCCATAAAATAGAAAATTACAATATGTATGAGCTATCAGCGGAGCTCCGTGGCTTCGTGGTAATTTTCAATTTAGATAAAAACACTCCCACGGCCTTCAAGAAGAGTTCAGCATGTGAATGGTAAGACAGAATATAAGATTTAACACCTGCAAGTCAGAGGGGGCAGCAAACCTGTTTTRACAGAGTATGTAAATGTTGACCCAGCGATGCTCAGAAAAATACACATCGCCAGGAGGTGCAGCAGGATCACAGGCTAGCAACATTAAAAAAGGTCAGACTGACAAAACGCTAATGGTTTGAAGGCGTTTTTTAGAAAGTAGTTCAAACCGAGAGAGATAATCACACTAATGAAAGCTTTTGACATATTTCACAGTATTTTAGAGAAAGAGCACAAACCTATCACCCTTTCCATTTCGTTTGCTCTGTTTACCTGTTGTAAGGTGTGGAGAAGGTCGCCATTACGACATCCCTCCCGTTGATGTGGATGACGTCCGTCACGGCCTGCAGGATGTTGAAGTAGAAGTGAGAGTCTCCGGGGATGGAGCAGTTCAGGCGGGATTTCAGGAACGAGGTCCACTGCTTCTCCAGGACGCGGGGCGAGCCGCCGCGGTCGTTCTTGCAAACCCTCGCCACCCGTGGAAACACCACCTGATGGAGCCGCACCGGTGTGGAAAAGTTACATTTTAAAAAAAAACAAACGGATGCTTTCAATCAGCTGTCACTTTTGTCACGTCTCAGTCTGATGCTCTAAGTGAAAGGAGTAGTCTGTGGATTTAGCATTGCACCCCTGCAGCGCTGTCAGACTCAAGATGGACGGTTTTACAATAGACATCCTAATTGACGCCGCGGAGCAAACAATGCGTCTACAAAACTTGAGGCAATTCATTATATTGCACATGGCACCCTCGCAAACCSATCCACAATCCAAAGTCATGCATGTTACGAGCTAACTGGTGATTCCAAAGTGTCTGGAGGTGTGAAAGTGAATGCTTGTCTCTGTTTGAGCTCTGTAATGGATGTGACTTCTGTTCTGCCTTTTTGGCCCTGTCTCAGATGGAGCTGACAGATGATGAATAGTAGCTTTCACCAAAATAAGAAAAAAAATGATGGAGTTGCACATTCAGAGCCAGAAAGAGATTTACAAAATAGATTTTTTWWATTTWTTTTTTTTCCTGATTTTAGTGCCAAATTATGAGCTGTCACACTTTGTCACCTTTCATTGTTGGGCCTTTTTTTAATGTGACAAGCTGAAGAAATAAATTTGTGAAAGCAGATAGTAAAATGGAGCAAGACTCAATTTTGCATCAAATGAATTGCAGCATCATRTCAATGGGATTAGCTGAAATGTAAATTGAAACTACTGCAGCACGTTACTTAGAAGCCTTCAGAGCCGTTGACTGTTAAATCATGTTACTCAGATTGTGTTCAACCTTCAGTTTAAAGGCATAGTCCACTTTTCTTGAAATTGGTTTCTGTGGAAAGGTTGTAAACAAGAAATATCGTACTTGTTGAAGACATCTCTTCATTTTGGAGAAAYAGAGTTTAATTCTGAGCAGACTGATAAGCTAACAGCTTGTCAGAGAGAAGCTAAGGCTGGATTGCTGGGATCTGAAAACAACTCCAATGTAAAAAAAAAAATCTTCACAGCGATTCTTTCAAAGTCTGTTCTATAAACTTTTACACCAATAACTGTTGTAATACAGAATATTTTGATGAGAAATGTTACAATATTCCTGCTGGAACATCTGCTTCCATTATTTGCTCTTGCAAATAACCAGATAATTCAATGTGAATTACCATGTAATACAAAACTGACATTAATATAATAGTTTATACAATAGCATTTGATTGGAACTTATTTGTTCGTAACTTTTTCTCCAAACTCCACTCCAAAAGATCTGAACTGTTGATTTAAGGCTAAAAACTTATCCAGCATTTATAATATTTTATATGGAAACATGATATTTTAATGATAGAAAATTAAAGAAACATTTAAAATAAAACTTTTTCTGCAGATTTCCTTATAAAAACCTTTTGTTCATTGCATCAAATCTTTGGAAGACATCAGAATTTCAATACAGCATTTTATCACCACATCACAAATTAGACCAGAGGGGTAAATTGGCTGTGCTGTTACGGTGTTTGCGAGTCAGCACCTGGCAACAGAAAGTTGAAACTATACAGCTTCAAATAAGAGCCACGCTGTAATTACAATTCTGCCGTTAGATGTTGCAGCCAGCGTTGCAATTAGCTGCTCTCACACTRTACTTAACAGCTATAACTCTGACCGTGACCTGAAATTGACGGCGTGAATGGGAGCAAACATGCATTTAAACCAGATCCCTACAAATACACACACCCTCACCCCTGCACACACCACACATATTCACTTCCCCACACAGAAATATGAATCAGAGATACGCAGCCATGAAAAACACAGCACCTTCCCTGTATTTTTGGTGGATGAATTTAGAAAATTGTTTTAAAAAACAGGTGAGACTGAGTAATTATATTAGTTTTCCATGTATTTGTGCTCAGTACTTCTGAAATACATATAAAAAGAGTAAACTACACAACTCAGTGTAACAAATATCTTCCCAAAGGCTTTTTTATTACACTAATGTGAAAAAATATTTATCCTTTGTTTTTTCCAAGTAATACCCCAGTGTTCAAACTGAAACAGAAATCTCCCCCAGCAGATTTATCAGTTTCCAATAAAGCACAGGCGACTCCTTACATTGTCAGAGAAGGCCATTTTGCTGGGGATATAATGAAGAGATATCATTCACTAAATGTTAAATTGCTCTCTGCGCCATCAGTTCTCCCACCACATGCATAATTACACTGACACTGCTTTCAAAACACCCRGCAGATTGAGAAGCTTGATCTGTATTCATGCTCTATATAACACACGGCTGTCATTTCTGGCAGTGAATCCATTATTTTTGTGTTTTGCATTGCCTCGGCTCTGTTCTCCCTCTCGTGCATTCCCTTTCATTTATTCTGCAAAGTACATATTCATTTCCATAACATATTCTCCACTACCTGCTGCCCAATTAAACTTTCTCATTGCAGAATCCAAACACTGAATTGAGGAGATTAGGGGGAGAATTTCGTATCCCTGTGGTGTAATACATGAGGAAAAAAAAAACTCCTTATTCTTCAGCTTCTCCGTTTCAGATTCAGGTCACTTCACAGAGACTCTTGGGTGGAATTTCTCTCGAGAAAACTTTGAGACAAAAGGTCAAACGGGAGCGACAAGGGGACGGATGTGGATGTGCAACTCAAGGGATAAATTTAGACATGAAAAGTGTCTTTCCAAACATCGATAGAATTTGCTTTAGGATCTATTTTAGGTCCCGTTTCCTGTTCAGTGTTGCTAAAATATGTTTGAGCCACTTAACAGCTCCTAAAAGCCTCCTTCCTATTATGTGATACACCCATATCCTGTTAGCTTCCTCAGGCACTTCCTGATTCCCTCAGTAAATAGGAAGTCACCTCTGATTAGAGCTCAAACAATTGCAAAGAGCAGGGCCTGTGCTTACCTTTCCCATTGTGTTGTACTCCATGGCAATTTCCCGAAAGAAGAAATAGATGAAGTCTCCATAATTGACTGCCTGGACAAAGTACGGCTCTGCAGGAAGGAAAAAAAAGAAAAGAAAAGAAAATTTGAGCCAAAGTGATGTTTAGTCCTGACAAAACAGTTCTGACATCATATTTCACAGCAAACTGGTCCAATATCTGTCATATTATGCAGAAAATCTCCAACGGAGAGTCTTGAGAGCATCAATCTATAATCTTTTATTTCAGCACAACAATTTGCATCTGAGAAAAGACGGTTATCTCTATCGAGATGACAGACTGGACTTGTGCTTGTTTCATCCAGCGAGCAGTCCAATTTCAGCTGGCGGATTATGACAAAATAAATCTGCGTCAAGCAGAGCGTGTAGCATTAGCATAAGTGGCTCTGTACGTACCTGCCACACTGTCACTTTTACACCGAGGTGCAAAGATGAGCTTGCAGATACATCATAAATCCCGGAACACACGGTGAAGTGTGCACGGTTTGTTTTTTTGCATTTTGTTTTTATTTTTTATGTTTCTTTCCAGCACACAGGAACTTTGCCGGCGTGTCCCCAACTCACCTTTCAGCCATTTGGAGTCATGTTTGACAGTGCGAAGAGTCGGACTGTCGCCAAGGCTACGATAAATGACCGCATCGATCGCTAGAAAGTCTGTTACGGTGGCTGAGTACAGCTTGCCACCTGGAAAGGGAATGCAGAAACGGAAAGTGCAATGAAGAGGAAAAATGGAGACAAACAGAGAGAGAATGCATAAAAGAGAGAGAATATGGGAGGGCCCCAAAGAAGAGGGGGAAAAAGTGTGGAGTTACATTAGGTCAAAAGCAAAGAAAGCACATCGTTACTAAGAGATCCATTCTCTTTGTTGCTAGATGCACAAACATGTTTTAGACAATTCAGACCCGATTCACGCACGATAAAGTAAATATTTGATGTACAACAGGCTGTACACACTCTTAAACCTGGTGCACGTATTCTAAACATTGAATTCCTGCAACGGTTAGCACCAAAGAAAGCAACGGYGACACACTTCCATGCACTTCTATACACACAGAATCACAATGCAGCACTATGACCTCAGCCTGCTTCGGTAACCACAGTGGAAACTCAAACGACATAATTGAAAGGATGGCAGTTGGAGGAACCCTCTTGATTACTCAGTGCTCCCAGCTCCTTCCAAGCTGCTCTGCAACACATCTACTGCACAAGCTTGGCATTTTGCTCTCGTCATGTGCCTCAAACCGGGCAGGGACAGCTCATCAACAGCGCCATAAATCGGTTCACAGTGAATGCGAACGAGGCCTGGATGTCTGCAGCAGCCAGTGGAATCGCGCCTCGCCAACAGAGAGCTAGTTGACTCACTCTGGTCCCATCCACTCGTGACTTATTTTTAATCACATGCACATTGACAAYGTTGAATGATTAACACAAGGGATAACAGCAGAGTAAAGTGAAAGCCTGAGACAAATTATTTACTCCGTTTCCACAGCACCACTGATGCGTTTCCAAGGATCCTAATAAGAAGAGAATTCCTGACACGGAGCAAACGTGGCCCAGAGTTTGATGTCTGGTTCTGGTGTACATATCACACACTGGCTTTCTTTTCTGACATGTTGTCAGAATACCACCGTTAGAATAAACCGCAGGATATCAAGGACATTATTAAGTACAACCGCTACTAATCAGCTACTCAGATTCACTCAACTATGCGATCCAGCTCCAAACTGTTCCACCGTTAAATGGCTGCAGATAGCACACAATTAGGATTATTGCTTTGTCGCTCTGATAGCAGCCAGTAAAAACATTAACTCTCAAACTTAATTTACTGTTACCTCRTGTGAACTTGTTTTTCAACGACTAATCAAAAGACAGAAAACTCATTAGAGGTGGACAGATTTGGGTTCTGAAGTGGCTGATTTCAGTGCCAATCTTTAGAAATAAGGACGGTCTATCGTCTATAAAGCTTGTTTTTGGATTAGATGTTTTTTCTCTCTTTTAAAAACAACAGTTTAATATTAATACAGCATGTAGGATTTTGACAAAAAGATGTGATTGAATGTAAATTGGGGTCTCGTCAAGTTTTCTCCTTCAGAACTTTCTGGCAAACAGACGTACCAACAGATCGGAGGAGAACTGGGACGTGTCCTGGATCGACTTGACAGACTCAGAGGAAGAAGGCAGTTGGTTGTGGGTGGATAGATCACCAGTGAACACAAGGTTTGATTGTTGTGAAAAYATTTTTGGTCCGTTTCCAGAGTTAAAGACAGTTTGGCTCATTAAACACTTTCTTTTTGTTCTTTAGCTCTCGTTTTGAGTGTTCAGGGCCGTTAATGTAAGCTCGATGGCAAAGGTGGGATCATTCCAGCAGAAATGGACCAAGMTGGATGAAGATTATTTGAAATTTTGGTTTGATACATAATCTGATGAAACTAGCAAAAAGTTTGTGAGAAATCATCACATTCTTTCCTTCTGTTTCTACAGTTTATTAAGGACTTGTTTCTATGTAGAAAGATATAACTCTAAAAGTAAACTTTATATTATTAAAAATTAAATGTTTAAGGCGTTGAAAGATAATAAATACTTACAATTCATTGTGCTTTTAAAAGTTTGTGTACTTTCACAAAACGTGTTGGATTTACTCATCATGTCAGCTGGTTCCAGCCAACTGAGCTGAGTCAATTTAAAGCAGTTTTCACATTTACTTTTAAAGTACACCCATCACTTATTAAAGTAAATCCAACACATCTGTTTTTAAGTGTATTAAAGATAAGTTACTCAGAAATGTGTATTCTTACCAGCAAAAAGAGCAACATTGGCGTGCTTCGCGTCATACGGACATCGTGCCATGCCACTGATCTCTTCCCCCAGAGGCTCCATGGTGTCCAACTAGGGTCAAGAAAGAGGTGAGAGGTCAGGACCRTGACGTGTCAAACAAAGCAACTAACCTAAAATAAAACTTCGAAGGTGGTGACTTTTAGTTGGAGTTCAAAATAAAGAGAAGGAACATCGGTTCAAAAACATGCATGTTTAGGCTGCCTTCAGGCCTAGGCCTCCTTTGCTAAAGAGAGTRATCTCAATGGGATTTGAATGTTTTAATAGTGATAAAGATTGGCAAACGTCTTGATAAAATAACTCCAAGTCTTGTCTTTTCCTAATCAGGAGTTCGTCCATTTCTAACCGATCTAAACTAATAACCCCTGGATGCCATTCGTATCCCACTGGTGTCTGTCAAAGCTRCACAGATGGGGAGTAGCTTGGAAACAGTCACAAAGAAAGAGGAAAAACCAGACATTTTCCACAGTAATGTGTTTCACGGTATGGGTGGATGGATCTTTTATCCTCCATCTGCACTGATGTTGCAGAAGAGTTTTAACAACCCTCAAGACAGATCTTGAACCCATTTATTACACATCTTTCCCCTGGCCTGATTTCTTAAGTTTGAGCTTTTTGCTGTGCAGACGAAAAAAAAARKKGAAAAAAAAGGAGAAAATGGGTGAGCACACAGCCCTGAGCAGAGAATGTGAGAAACTTTTACTAAACCACAGAAGTTTAAAAATATCACATCATATAGTAGTGATTATTTGGGTGATATTTTTTGCAGCTCTAACAGCCGTGTGCTGAAAGGTTTTCCTTTAGCGAGCCTTGTTAACCTCTTTTTTGGTATATTTCAGAAAAATCCTAAATTTTAGTCAGTGCTCGAAAAATGAAAGTTGCCTTTCTGTAGCGCTAAGAGTGTAGTTTAACCAATTTCGAGTTACTCCGTGTTCCCATTTCCTAAGGTCATTTAAAGTTCTTGTTTGAAAGTCACTRGTTTAGGTCTAATCTGAAGAGCTAGAGAATGTTCTCCTCTTTTTATCCCATGTTTGGTTCCGGTGCAGAAAACTTTCTACTACTGACGAAAGATGGACACTGCAAACGATAAAATGATAGAAACGCACAAAAACAAGTCAGACATTGAGGTTAGAATAAATTACCAYACTCCAAGTTTCTCTGCAGAGTTCACGATAAATAGTAACTTTTCAGTCACTAAATCTATTTCCCTCTATCTTTTTCTTTACGACCACGCTTTCTTACTTTCTCCTTTTTTTTTTCCCTCTCTCGACAAAAGCGAGAGAGGCAAGTCTGCTGACCGCTTACGCCGCCCTTTCTGCTCTCTAAACAGGTCGTTTTGTTTTCTATTCCTGTCTTGGCAGAAACGGTTATCATCTGCCCACTAAAAAGGTCAAACACACACACACACACACACACACACACACACACACACAC